ATATTGAGAAGCAGTTCTTAGCAATTTAATGAAAAGAAGACGCACAAATGGTTAGATCTATTTGTTGATGACTGAAACGTTGGAGTGGTGCTGATGCCGTTAAGGTTATTTGGGGTAAGATATGTTGGTTAAATGCTAGCTCACTACCAACAACACTCAGATAAATAAACACAAGGGGTACCGGAGCGGTGAAGTACAAAATGGACGTGCAGATAATCAAAACATACTGATCACTTATATTTCAGGATTTCAAAACTCATTATGTAAGTAATCTTTAACATACGCAGTAATATCTAGTCCTATGTTGATGATGATGATGATGATGGTATTCACAAAACCAAAGCTATTTTTCTCAACGTTTCACTATGTAGCCTACCGCTTCAGCAGAACTTTACTCCGGGACATTTGTAACAACCATGGGTCGGATATTTATAATTTAGCCTTACTGCTCGAAAGCGCATTCGGACGTGAAGGCTGTTAATAGGAGCAGAAATGTAAAACCTGAGTTTCTATATCCTCATAGTTTCATTTAGATTAGAAATCATGATCCCGGCATGGTACTTAGGTTATTTACAATATTATAATTTGTCATTTGGTCTCCTAGTGGAACATAATGTTTCAGTAGAACGTCACCATTTCACTCTGTTCTCTTGCAGTCTTTTCAACTTGGCTCCAAGACTGACCAGAAGCTTTCACTTCTTCCTTACACTATCTCCTTCATGTCACCCTCGGACGCCCAACTCGTCGTTTCCCCTTTGGATTCCACTCGAGGGTCTGGCCTGACCTCGTGCTTGATGTCCCCAAATCGTCTTCTCAGTATATGCCTAATCCATCTCCACTTTATTCTGCATATTTGTTGAACAATGGGTTCTTGGTTGGTTAGTTGCCAGTCACAGGTCCTTGTTGCTTATTCTTTCTGGCCTTCTGACCTTCAGTATCGAGTGACTATAGGCGGCAGCTGTTGATATATCTCTGTAGCTTGTTGGAAATGCTTTTCGTAATGCGCCAAGTTTCTGAACCATATAGAACCACTGACTCGACTGACTTAGTGTTGGAAATCCGGATCTTGTTCCACATGCTGAGTGTAGTGCAGTAGATCTCCATACTGATTTCAGATTAACGAAGGCCTGTCCCACTTTTCCGATCCTGGCTTTGACATCTTCATCTGTGCTGCCGCCTGTAGTTGAAACGATGTCTAGATAGATGAAAGAGACTACTTCCTTTAGGTTTCTCCCGTCGATGGTGATTGGTGCTTGTTGTTGATGCTGTTGTTGGCTGGGTATCTTCATCACCTCCGTTTTCTCAACATTCACTCGAAGTACCGTTTTGGCTGCCTCTTCTATCAATTTGTTAGTTTTCGCCTGTAGATCTTCGAGCCTGTGCGACATTAGACATCAATCATCATCAGCGAAATCCAAATCTTCTAGGCTCCTTTCATCGGTCCAGCCAGCGTATGTCCATCTTCCCGCTCCTCACAGTTTCTTGCATGACCCAGTGCAGTCCAGTCGAGTCGACCACAATCAGGGGAATCATTGGTGATAGTAAGTGGCAACGTTGTCTTACTCCTGTCTTCACTTCAAAGGCATCACTGAGCTTCCCATTGTCGATCACTTGGCATGTGGAATCGTCATACAGCTGTTGAATGAGGTTGATAAAGGTTTGTGGTATTCCGTAGTGTTGAAGTAGCTGCCAAATCACTTCTCGGTCGACTCTACCGAAGGCCTTTTCAAAGTCGATAAAGTTGAGGTAGAGAGTTGACTGCCAATCTATACTCTGTTCTATGATGATGCGACGCGTTGCAATTTGGTCCGCACATGATTTGTTCTTCCTGAAGCCAGCCAGCCAGCCTATTCCGTTCGTAATTTTGATGATGTGACTTAATATTTTGCTTGGGGTGGACAGAGACAGGAGCATGATTCCGTGCCATGTTCTTGCAAAGACTTAGGTCACCCTTCTTTGGAAGTTTGACAAGGTGACCCTTCTTCCAATCAATCGGCAGGTACCTTTCCTTCCTTCCTTCCTTCCTTCCTCACAAACCTTCTGCAATAGTGGTGTGAGCATGTCCGTTGCTGTTGTCTCTCCATCTGTTCTCAGTGCTTCTGGAGGAATTCCATCTGGTCCTGCTGCTTTCCCGCATTTCAGCAACTTTATGGCGTTCAGCACTTCACTTCTGCTTTCGTCGGAGGGCTTGTGTGCACTCGTAATTCTGTGACTGGGCTGCTGCTGGTATTTCTGGACGAGTTACAGATGGTGGTGGTGGTCGTCGTCGTCGTCGATTCAAGAGTTTTTTGAAGTGATCAGCCCATCGTTCCCTTTGTTTCTCCTCTTTGGTCACTAAGTTTCTTTCGCTATCCTTCATTGGTTTCATATGAGTTGATCTCTTCCCAGATAGTAACCTGGTTATTTGATACAATGTTGTCAGGTCTCTGTCTCTCCCACCTGCAGCCTGTTCTGCTTCACTTGCCAGTGTGTCGTAGAAGTGTCTTTGCCTTTCCGCGCACTCTTCTTCACTTCTTTGTCCAGTGTTTGATAGGCTGTATTCAGTTCCTCTCCCCGTTGTTCATCCCTACACTCCACTGGTTCATCTTCTGCTTCAACATCTTCCTCTCCCTTCTCTATCAGCTTCCATGTGTCTGTCGAGATCCATTCATTGTCTTCTTTCTTCTTCCTTCCCAGTGCGGTTATGCAGGTTTCTTTCCACATCTCTTTCAAACAGTTCCAGTGTTCTTCCACGTAGGTATCCTCGGGGATGTTGCTTAATATCTACCATTTTTTCTTGGTGGCTGACTGGCGTAAGGGTGTCCTTTGTAGTCCCGTCCTTCAGTTTTTGTTCTGCGTGTTGAACTTGGACTATGGTCTGTCATCACCAGCTACTCTGAAGGCTTTCAACTTGATTTTGAAGGTAGGTTCGTTGCACTAGATAGTGAGTGGTGTGAACATACATCAGCTATTCTTCTAGATCAAGTCATTAAAGGTATAGAAGTCTGCAAACAGTTCTCCATTCTCAATCATTTCACCAAGTGCCCCTCGACCCTTGATGAGTTCACTTCCTGTGTTGTCCGCTCCCAGTTTTGCATTAAAACATGTCACCCATTAGATTTTTGATGTCGCCAACTGGAGTGGGGTCTTGTCCAGTACTGATTTCAGTTGTCTATAGAATTCCTCCTTCTCTTGATCTCCATTATTAGTAGGTGCGTAGCATTGTATGATTGTGATCTCCTTCTTTTTGATTTAAATCTTGCTGTCATGATTCTGATCGTGGAGAAGATTGGTTCCCATTGTATGAGAGCCTTCAGTGCTCTTGGAAACACCATGATAGCCACTCCAAAACTCAGTGTGCTCATGGTTGTCGTCTGGGTGACAATATCGGAGTAGATTATTGACTTTCCAGTTGACAGTTCTGAGAGTCCACTTCCATTCCATCTGCTTTTGCAGATTCCTAGCACTCCTATACTATATCTTCTCATCTTTTTTACAATCTGTTAACATTGTGCGGATATTCCATGTCTCCATTCTTACTTTTGCTTTCATCAAGAGAGAGAGAGAGAAGACACATCGGGCAATTGGCTTTCCGAAGGCTTTCACCGACTGGCATCATCTCTTCTCCCCAATTCCAGCGAGGAATAAGTTTATTTTTATTTTTTATATTTCCTCTGTGCTTTGAAGTTTGTTTAGCGGTTGGATTGGTTTTACGGGGTAGGGTTGCTAGACGTATGCCCAAGCTTCCCTCTTTATCCGGGCTTATTACCAGTTAGTAACTAGTAAACTAGTCGGGGTTATTTCTTAGATTTGGTCGGCAAAATTCAGCGGTTAACTCAAATTGAGCTACATTTTCGCCAGAACCCCTTTCGGAATGCTGAAAAACAATTATGCAATGATATACCTACATTGTTCTCACTGGTCCTCTCTATTTAAAACACTTTAGCTCACAAAGTAGCCATACACCATTCGATAAATTTGTCAGTTAGTCAAAGACACGCTGTAGATTTTGCTATCATGACAATTATTTGTTGGTCGACTTCCTTATGATTGCTGTTTATTTCCAGGGAGTACATTTAAGGAGTCCTGATATAGAAAGAGTATAGGACTGTTTTGCTTAATCACCTCTGCAGTGCTAATAAGCGAAAATGGATAGCTCATGTTCACACACGTTAACATTTTTATTCTTTTGCATTTATTCTTTGCATATATCACTACCTGACATAACGATGTATCGATCCGAGTTCTTATACAAAACAACTAGACTTGTTAAAGATATTGGCAAGCGTTTCCAGTGCTCGAACGCACTTTTTAACGCTGGATTTTTCGGGTTTTGATTTCAGTAGCGTAGTTCGCTTATATTTGTCCCTGAAATACTTGTGATACTGATGTAACTGGGTAGCACTAAAATGCGGATTCCTCATGACTGATGGGTTGAGTCAGAAACTTTCTTTGTGTATCGACGACTGTTTGAGACGTGACAGTGGATACTGATTACTGTAAAATTGTTCCAGCCCTACAGAAAATAGGAAAAATATGCATTCCTGAAGAATGATTGAAAAAATAGTTATTTATATAGTTATCATACTGGGCTAATAACCGCCAAGTTTAATAAGAAAAAAATTGCATTTTCAGATATTGGCTAATAATGGACTAATGAAATACCAATAACATGACCTTTGGCCTAGGTTAAGGGAGAGTATTTCGTCGGCGGCTTATACTAAAATAACTAACCAACAATCTTCCTTTTTGTTCATCCTGGTAGACAATTCCAATTTATGTTGCATTACGTATTTCATGGGTTCATCGAATTGCTTCACAAAATTTTTTTCGGCTCATAAAGATGTTGCTGTTGTGGTCAGTTCGGTTGCTAAAAAACAACTTCCTCTCCCACACCTACCATTCAATAAATCAGGTTAATTCTGTACAATTTTTGCACATTAATGGTTCATAATAGTAGTTAACCTGTTATAAGTTATTTCTTGCGTCTCACAATAATCGACTTTTCATTTTTTTTTTAGGTAACGATGAGAAGTTTGTGGATTTTACCATTCAAACTGGCTTTAGCAACTAACTTCTTCAGTGTCTTATTTAACATCATCAACGATTGTGATGAAACATACAATTACTGGGAACCATTGCATTTTATTTCAACTTGGGGGGAAGGTGGCGGCTTTCAAACTTGGGAATACTCACCTTCCTTTGCTCTGAGATCCTATTTATATCTCTGGGTTTTTGGTTGGCCAGCTTCTGTTTCTTTCTTTCTGGGTCTTCCAAACTGGTTTGGTTTTCTCCTGGTTAGGTTTTTTTTAGGTTTCATCTCAGGTATATCTTCTAGTGTACTGTCTTCAGTGGTAGCACGTTTTGTTTCTGAAGAGCATCACAGACAATCTAAGGAGTTTGAATCAAATAAAAAGCAGATTCTTTTCTCTTTCCTTTTATCGTTTTGCGCTTGCATGTCACCAGGTAATTTCCTTTCATCAACTACTCTTCTGCCTAGTGGGCCATGTAGTTCTCTAACGGCCCTTATGTTGATATTTTGGCTAAGACGTCGTTATTTTTTGGCTGTTGGGTGCGTTGCTTTCAGTGGACTTGTCGTCTGGCCTTTCGCCGCTGTTCTTGGACTCCCTTTAGCCACTTATATGGTTATCACTGGAAAGTTTCGTTGTTTAGTCAAGTCAGCTCTTGTGTGGCTGCTTCTGATTACTTTCCCTCTTGTTGCCGTTGATTCGTTTTATTTTGGTCGCTTTGTTCTAGCACCCATCAATATCCTTAGGTATAATTTATTCCCCTATGATAAACAGCAAACTGGAAGCGCTTCACAACTATATGGAGTAGAACCTATCTCATTTTACTTGAAAAATTACATTCTAAATCAGAACATTATGTGTATTCTTGCCTTGTTGTCGTTAATACATGCCGTAATCAAACTTGTTTTACTTCCGTTTCGTATTAAAAAGTCTGTGGAGAAAACATTTTAATGAGACCGAGACCTCATTGTCTAAAATTTGTATCATAGTATGTACATGTTTGGCGATTTGGAATAGCATATTTTTCTTACAGGCCCATAAAGAAGAAAGATTTTTATTTCCATGTTATCCTCTTATTGCAATTGCTTCAACAATTGTTATTTCAGAAATTATTGAAGCTTTAACTTCTAAAACTAAACTCGCAGGCATAAAGTCTTCAGTCACTTGTTTTATAATCATTACTTTTTGTTCAGTTGTCTTCCTAACGAGTGTTTCTCGTATTTTCACGCTTGTGCGTTGGCATAGTTCTCCGATGTATTTAGTTAAACATCTTCCCGCTCCGTTAGGACAATCTCACAAACCCTTATTATGCATGGGTCGCGACTGGCACTTCTTTCCTAGCAGGTTTTTTTTACCAGGAGGTGGTGAAAAATGGGAAGTCGGATTTGTGCAGTCTAATTTTTCTGGCCAGTTGCCGGGACAATTTGCTAAGCCTGTATCAAGTGGTATGGTATCCAGTTCTACTCGAAAAGATGGGAATCATTTCAACTCGGGTAACGTAGAAGAAATCGATCGCTATGTCATAAATGCGTCTGATAAATGCAGTTTTATGTTAGATCGTGATTCCCCCACTGCTTTTCGTGAGACTTTGTATGTGTCAGAGCAAGAAACTTGGTTGTCTTTTGCTAACCGAACACTACTTGAGTCCACTAGTTGTAGTTTTAATGAGACGTTTCTTAGCTTAGACGTTATTTATTGTCGACTTTTAAGAACCTTTTATATTCCTGTTCTTTCACAAAAAATGGACTTAACGACCGCTCTACATATTCTTGTTCGCCGTAATCATGGATTGTTTGCATAATGTCGTATCTAACCTCTAACCCTTCAATCCAAGTTTAGTGGATTAAATTTTTCTTATGTATCTATGTATGTTTATTTACCGTCTGTTTTTTGCATTCCTTTTGCATACGACTGTCTGTCAAAAGAGTTAAATGGTTTGTCTCCTGTTTTTGTAGTCCAAATAATTTTCAAATAAATCATATGTAAGCTGTATGCCCAGTTGTGTATCACATATATTCATCTATTTTGATTGTGTAATTCATTTCCAAATCAGCTCATAGGAAATAAATGTTGGAAACCCATCGGTCGTGAATAAAGTAATTGTACAAGTGATCAAAACTTAAGTTTTAGCAATACTAGCAGTTATCTGTAACGTCAAAAGTTGATACTGAAGATAGATATATGCTTAACATGAACACAGTGTCTTAATTATTTGAAAAGTGAAGTGAGAAATGTTTTGGTGAAACAAAATTATGAACCTTGGGAACAATTAGAAATGGATGTTAGCTGGTTGGAGGCAATCGACAGGAAGCCCTGAACCTAGGTTTCGTGTGCGTTTGCACCTGTCGACAAGGTGTATCTGAAACGTTGACGGGACTGATGTCCTGCCTGAGATTCCCACTGGCGTCATCCAATGTTGTAGCCAGCGGCGTAACTACTGAGCTGTTCGAGCCGCGACTGACCTCTTGTGGGACTGGGATACATACATTGGTTGGTCACGGGAGAACAACCAATTTTATGTTATCTAGTCCTGTATTTTGAAAATGGTCTAACTTCAGAGATTTTCTTTTGTTGCGAGTTTGGAGGGATCCTATTTCGTGTGGTTGAAAGCATATGGGAAAAGTGGCAATAGCCTTTACGTTTTCCTGAAACGTGCAGAGATGTTGAATACTAAAGTAAGCTCTAGACTAATAGTCTATACTGATTTGGCGAATTTAACTAGGTAGATATTCAGCTATCGTATACTCGTTTCACCCTTAGCGACAGATTACTCGACGTCGAAAGCCCAGTTGATATTTTGTATCGTAGCATTTGTCTATTTCATGAAAATATTGTGTATGCATGAGTCTAAAAGCCCGCTGTAGAATACCCCGAAAGTTTGTACGTATATGGGTTAGAAGAAATCGTACTAAATATATCTGTCTATTTTGAGTCTCTCATCACCGAAATCTTACCACAAGTGGATGCAGATCAAGTGAACTGCTCTGAGGAATTAACGGAATAATGTTTTTTACAGGCACATGGAATGTAAATACTGGAGAAAGTCTGCCGGTAATTCTAAGAGCATATTCACGAGAACTACTGAAGAATTACTCATGGTGGAAATAAATGGTTTCGTGTAACATGTGCAGACATACTTATTCCGGTAAACTTTCAGACTCCAGTTCCATTCAGTGCAACTACTTATTTCGTAGTAATTCCTCTTCCTCTAATTACATGCAACGTATTTAGAAGTGGATGACAACGTTCTGGCATACCACACAGTATTTCTTTATATCATTACTAGCATCTGTGGAAGGGGAACAGCTTTTCGGTAGATCTCGTTCATGTCTTGCACAACTACGTCCAAAACTCAATTTTTCATATCTTGGTATTATATAAAACACTAAGCAGAGCCAACTATTGATAGCGTAGAGTTTGTGAAAACTCTAAGGCGTTCTGTCGCACACAGAATTTTGTACCATTTTCGTGTCTTTTTTCTTCAGATTTTAAGTCTCCAAGCAAAATATCACTTGAGTAATAGGCTCCACTAAATAACATCAGTGAATTAATATAAATGTAAAACCTGGGCACTGTGGTAGAATTTAATTCCACACACTAGATCACTGTGCGTTATAAACCAAATAAACAAACCTAATATGGAACATCGGTGAATTTATTAAAACATTGTATGTGATTTTAACTCCTGATCTAAAGTTGAATAGTTTCGTTATTTTCATTCGCTTCAGCTTGTATACCTTCCTTCTCACCATTATCCTGTTCCTCATCGCTTGTCGCTGGTCGTTCTTCCTCCTCTTCGTCCAACACTATATTCTCCTCAAATTTAAATAGTAAATACGTTTGTATCATCAAGAAGCCCAGTAATAAGAATATATTATAAACATCATACATTATAACTTGACAATTCGCAGCTGTTGTTAACCGAAAATACTTAGGTATTCACCGACAACAATATAGCCTTCACCCATTAATCTGTTAAACCAAGAGATAGGATGCTCAAGAAAAGATACGTTTCTCTTTAAGGCATCACGGCGTCCATGACACGTGGTTTTGTGTGCGACAATAACGTAAACTGTTGAGGATGGAATTTCAGATATGCATCGTCGTAACAGCGGGCGAATTCAATGGAGAAGTAGAGGCGTTATGCTGGAGCGAAAGACTGGAGTGGTGCTTTCGAAACTTTAGGCTGTCGAATTAACATTGGTGGCCACTTATTGCGAATACTCCCACACAGCTCCCTGTTTCTACCTGGCATGAGTTTCAAACCTGGGAAGAGTTATCGTTTAACATGAAATCACCTACCTCGTCCCACGTCCAACTCGGTCCATGCCACTTTCGCCTACCCTTTGAAAGAGCCGCTGTATCATTCAATTAAGCAGTGACCGTGTTTTAGCTCAGATATGCGATCACCTCTGCCTCGAAGAACAAATGAAACTACAGCTGCAAGATACATATGAGCTTAGGTAAAGTGAACACTGTTTTTAAAAAGCAGTTGGTTAGGACGTTAATGGAAGGTAACAATACTATTTGTTCTCAGGACACGTGATACTCCTTACACTATGTCGTAAAGAAACATTGATAGAGGCTGTTACTAATGACTACGAAAAAGCTAATAGATTTCAACAGCTTTGATCGTCTCTCAAACTCTAATGTGGGACGGTTGCAGCTTTAACTTGGGACTGCATGAATTATATGCACTGACTGTGAGCAGCGATTAGTAGTGAAAGCTAGTAAGATAAAAGGGACTGCGATAATAGATAGTGGTACATGGTTGTTTGAAGAAACTTAAGTGGAAAAATGTCAGCGGCTAGTGGGACTGTGGTGAAGAACGTTTGGTCTGCTGGTCACTAACAAATATGGCGTCTGAAACAAGAAGCAAACTACTAAGGAACAGTTAAACTGGCCGTCACCTACTCTTCCGTTGTTTAATCACAACCTAAATGGAACGCTGACATAGAGAATCCTGTAGTGAACAACAGCAAACCAGCATCGGAGATATTTGAAGATGGTAGTTCGGAATTATTGGTAAGGTTGATCATTGTGACTCAGGCAGACATGGTCCTACCTAACTAGTTTTAGAGACATTTTACTAATCTTTAAGAAATAAGGGAAGCCCTCTTGAGGCAACTGCGTATCTACAAATTGGAAACAGCGAACCAGATGAGTTTTAGACCTGGTTCTGGTTATTTTCAGCATATCTTGCTACACAGACAGTTATCAGCACAACACCAGCTATTTTTTATGAACATGAAAGTGGCATTTGGCTCCTTCGATCGAGACGTTTAGTATCTGTCTAACTGAAATGAATGTCTGGGAAGTTCATCCCACGAAAAGCTGCTTACTTCAGCACCAGATTGTCAAGCTAGAACCTATTGGGAGTAACCACATGCTTATCTTCTTCGAGTGGTATCCGCTTTCTCCATTTACTTCAAATTTATCACAGATGGGTTTATGGAGATAGTCACCTACTCATCTGGAGCGAACAATCTCCTCACCAAAAACTAAAGTTCACTTTGAGAACGCGGATGACATAGTTCTGGTAGATGAAAAGATGTAGTTTTCCAAAAATACATTGAATGACAAATTAAGAACGTTTAGGACGCATTTTTCACTTGAAAATGAATTGTGGCTTCATAACTGATCTCCTGTGATATTTTGACAATAAACTGAGGCCGCTGGGTACGTTGACCACATCATCCACTCGTGAGGACCCCTCAGACACCCATAGTGCATCCGTAACCCACTTAATTTTAGCACAGATACATATGACTCAGTGAACTTTTACCAACTATAGCAGCGGTGGGATATCCGGTCGCATATTAAGAGTCGAATGTACTTCACAGCGGTTCGTTCTCTCTTAGTATATGGTTGTTAAAGTTAGCTTACGTGAGTCTGAATATCGTTACCTTCACAGCATTGAATTTGTGTTGAGGAATATATACGTAGGTGATGTACGGGTTTCGTTTGGTCTTTATTAGGCAAGTGACATCTTAAAACTTCATAGACTGATGTTGCTGGGATACGTGTCACATATATTCACCAACGGCTACCTCAACGCTTTCTGGTAAATAAAGGAAAGTTAGACTAAGTAAACGCTGGTGGTCAATGGAGTGACGCATGAAGCCTTAATGCTTCCTGAGTCGTGTAGAATAACTAATGAAATCCAGTAGACCAAATATAATAATGGTCGGAAAAAACTAACGTTTTGACCCCAGACAGTATTGGTTTCAACCCACTTCCTTTTTCGTTTATTTCTTTCCGAACATTTAAAACATTTACAATGATTCTGAAGCACATACATCAGCAACCTTCCTATACAAAGCTGGGTAATAGCGAGTGTTTACAGAATGATCAAAAAAGAAACCGGAGTACCGTTCATGAAAAAAGTAGATATGAAAATGGGGAATGGGATCATAGGAGTAATGCTACAAATACATGAACCATCATAAAAATGGACAAATATGCAGAACTTAGCGAAAAGTCAGTAGACATAGACCTTTACGTTCACCATCTTGATGACCGATGTTTTAAGGTATATATACGTTATAGGCGAAAAGAATGAGATTAAATTTATGTAGAGAGGTTTGAAGTCGATAACATGTGAATACGTTTGGATTACTGTGGTCAATTTTAAGCCATATCACCAAGGATTTCCAATCTTTGAATTTCGATGGTAGGTACTAACCAGATAGCCTATGTGCCTAAGACCAACAATCAGTGACTTCAAGGAACTCAGTCGTTTCCTGAGTCAACCTCTCCAGCTCTTCCTCGAACATATGCAGCAGATAAATACTTCTCAGCCCTGTATACCACTCCTTCCAGTGACAGTTCAGATTTCCCTTCACGTTGTTATCAGTGAATGACTTGGACGGTTGTGGTAGGTGGGTATCAATTATTTGGCAAAATATTCCAGCCTTGTATAATACTGTATTAATACTGAGACAAAAAATGTTTAATTATGCATAACACGGTCTAGCCAGCTTAATAATTTGCCTTCACTGCTTAAGATCTCACACCTAACCTTCCCATGGTTCATTTTGTTTCCGTTACACTCTAGTGGTGTTACACAGAAATGTAAGATCGTAAAGCAGGAAGCCTTCTATTAAGTGGCTGCACAGTACAATCACCCACTGATGAACAATGCGATATGTAGCCAGAACCACCGATGGAGTAGGTTGTTGAATGCCAGAAGAGCAATTTGCACCCATACTGAGACTTCGTCCGAAACTAATCTACTGGTTTGATTTGGTCGTTGACATATGAATAGAGGAATCAATGAGTATTTACTGGATCACTAGCACCTAGTATCCTTTTCCCCATGAAATCTTTGATTATACTCAGAATTGTATTAGAATCAGGGTAATATAATGACATTTAAGTGTGTAGCCTATTTTTCTGATCTTGATTAAGGCGAAAGACAAACCATAGTGTTTTCGGTAAGGAAATAAATTATTTGCGCTGTCATCGTTTATGAAATTTGGATCAGACTTGCTTAATCTGCATTGTGATGAGTGTTAAAAAATGTATCTATATGTTTACGTACATCATGAATAATTTTTGTTTTGACAACCTACAAGAGCTTGCACATAGTCACCACCTTGTTAATTAAGTCCGAAATATACTCACAATGATCCATAAAAACATATAAAAGGGATTCTTATGAATAGCTGGTTTTGACTACTAGTTGGAAGATCGCTTTTTGTGGTGAAATCTCTTGCTTTCCTTAGATTTTTAATAAGTTTACCGACCATATATTGTTTAAATGAATAGCTCTTCAATAAGGATATAAACAAAAGTTACCTGCTTGTTGTCTAACGCAAACGCAGATTCTGTGAGCGTTCCTTCTTTCAGTTGACGCTCTTTAAATTTACGCTCGATAGTTTCAAAAAACTGATCTTCTGTCAACCTGATAAGTTCTTCTACTTGTTTTGTGTACGATTCTTCTTCAGCACCTAACGTTGTTTCCTCCTGCATTTGAAATAACGTATTATCAAAATTTCAGTCAGTCAAAAGTTGGTGATGGAAATGTAAGGAACTAAACGATAAACGAGCTATAAAAAGAAATTAGAGGATTAAAGAAGTGTGTAGTGAAAGCATTTTGATGTATGTTTCATAAGATCATAATTATGAAGTGGCGTGATGAGTTGGGTGTCATTTGGTATGGAAATCACAGAAGTTACCGGATAGTTGTCCCTGTAATAATTTGTGCTTGATAATAATTTTTTTTTTTCACGGTAAAAACTGCCACCAGTATCCCAGTCAGGAAAGCATTAAATTTTCATGTTTTTTTCAAAATAAGAAGCAATTAAGAAGCTTAAAAGCAGTAACTTTAGTTGATTGTTTGCAAAAAAGGTCACTCACAGTATGATTCGGTAAGTTAAATAACTTTACAAATATGAAAAGACTAATATATATTTAAACTGATTGAACTTCGCAGATGCCTTGAGTAAGGAAATCGGAAAAGCCAAAAGTCTGTAAGGCCTTCAGTTTCGCAGGCATTCTTATGTAACAATTTACCGTGTGAGACACACCGTCAATATCAATGAAGTCTTCTGTATTCTCGAAAGACTAGTGAAAATTTGTGAATTACTAGTACATTTCTTGATAACCGTTCAAAGTATGGAATTAACACACTGGGAAACGAAAAAAATACACATTTTGATTCTTGTACTTCAAGCAACTGAACAGCTGTAGACGAAGCAAATGCAACAATAAACCTCTCCGATTAATACTACCGGGATTGTAGGCGTGGAATGTAGATTCAACTGATAATCCAAATTTAATAATATAGAAACTAAATTTGGATAAAACAACTTTAGTGAGTAGGTTATTTCTTCCTCACAGAAAGGTAATTTTCCCCTTCAGTTACGTTACATAGACACAGAATTTTCCGTTGGTACTCATAAACTTGCTTTTTTCTCCCTTCCCAGTAATTGATGACAGAAATAACACACTGCGTGGTCGATCAATCGCTGCCTCAGGAAACTTCGTGTAATATGTAGAAGTCTAGCTAATGTCGGTGGCAATGTTTTCAGCACCTTGGTTAGATTTGCACGGGTAAACCATGTACAGGTACCGAACCTTCTAATCAAACGTAACAAAACCTTCGGAAGAAGTTCAAATGGTAGTCACTCATATGATTCCTACAGTAGCCTGCTTAACGTACAAAGAATGACCTCTTCTTCATAAAGTTTGTCAGACAGAGAGGGGACTTAACCATGTTGGGAAAAGTTTTAGAAAATTCATTCAGACCTGATAAAACTTCTTTTTTTCATACCGCTAGGTTGTAGCACATTAGAGTACAAAAGTTAAGGGCAAACCTAACGACCAAGTAGTATTGGCTGGCATGTTGAGTAATTGACTTTTGAAGCTGATTTTCAGAAGAAATGCTGTCAACTTCTTCGATCGATTCATTTGAGAGAGGCTTGGAAACACAGGAATCTATGAGGAAATGATTTACGGTGGTCTACATTTTCCTATCCTTATGCTAAAAATCTGAATCAAACATAAAGCCCTCCTAATGTGTTCAAAAATACTACGTTTTTACACTTAGTTTTATATCAAGGATGGAGTTGGAATACATGCTATTTTCATTGTCATTTTTTGGTCTTCCTTATAAAATAAGGTGATGATTTCAGTAGTCTAGCCTGAGTGTTTTATCGTATGACTTTTCTAGAATATCTAGTACTTCATTAAACTCAATAAATTTTACGTGCTTTGACAAAATGCCATGAAAACTTCTATAGAGTGAGACAAAAAGCTTGTGCAGTCTATTGGTTTCAATTTCTTTTTACCTCTCACCACCTGTCTCAGCAGCAGTATCAGTAGGAATGTATATGTCTAATTCTTGAGACTTACTTCAAAACAGAATGACACTTTTCGATAATCTAGAAGTACTCCCACAGACATAAATTCAAGGAAGAATCTTATTAACAGCTTTTCTGTTTTTACTAGGGGATATAAAGAAAGTAATTAGTGAAACTAAGATGAGTTTAGCCACAACAGTTACCATCAGATTGAAAGCATATACCTTAAGGTGTGGTGTTCATTGGTAGAATTTATTAAGCAGGTAACCGTGACTAAGTAACAACAGCTTAAACCAAAATATAAGTGTACTTATCTTACTTCAGATGCATAACTATGAATTTATTCGAAGTTTAAGAAAATTAACTATACGGAACCAAATGTCACCCATGTTGTTGATGAAATAATTTTTAATGGTTTATATGCTTTTCTCGACCAAAAGTTTTGTAAGAAAATGAAGGGATATCTCCATAGTCATTAAATATATTCAACCATTGTTGTAAGAACTCACTGTTACTGTTAAAATGCATTAACATAAATTAACCAACGACTTCACATTTTGGGAAACTAATTGGAAGAAATGAAAACTATACTTACCGGTCATTTTCCAGCTAAGTGACTGGTTTCTGACCCAAAATGCCCTAGTAGACGCTCACAGCCTCTCGCAGAGAAGTTCTGTTCACTACCTTCATGTAACGGGGATGTTTCCACAGGAGTTAAAGAGCATAAGAGAATGTCCAGAGCTTATCACCGAACTGGTGGGTACTGAGGCTCCACCTAAGAGAACTGGAAAACCCTGATTCCAAACAAGTGGTATACATGGGATGCAGGTTCCAGATGGAACTAATGGCCCCCTAAGACAGCTATTCGCTTCAGTCTGGGTGCCTGGACAGTATCTCAGCCCTCACACAAAGTATGAATTTACAATACAAAAGAAGATTTCGAAGCTACTAATCAACTTCTATGCGAATACTGAAACTCTGCACTGCGAACGTCTTAACCGACTACTCAACTTATTGGTATTGTAATGCTTTGTTGTTTTTATATATGAACTGTGTGTTTTTACGATTACCATTTTCTCTTTTGTCTTCACTTCACTCAGCTGCTCTCCACTGCTTAGACTTCCGTTCTGTTTGTACCGATTTCAGTAGCTAAACAGTTGCCCCCATAAAGCTGTCATCCAGTGCTCTGGAAAGCCTTGCTAGTGACGTATGCTGCATCTCAGAGACCCGCATACAAGATCCCAGTGAAGTACTTGGAATTATTTTCCCATCTGTCAGCTCGAAAAGTATGTTTCATGTGCGCTTATTCCGAAACGCTGTGGCATCGGCAACCAGTCATGCTGGTGCCGCACTTAGCGATCGAGCTGAAGCTCCACTACTCCACTGAATACCCTTCAACAGTCGTCTGTGTGTCGATAGGTTAGAAGGCTCACCTCGAGTAAGAAGTAGCCTGCAAGAGAAACGATGTCTCTTTGTCCTCTCTTCCTATTCTCCGACGGATTGCAGCCCGGATCCAACCAAGGATGAAATTTATCATCAACTCAGTGACTTTCTCATTCAAATGTGCTCCACAAAAATCGTAGTGCTAGCTCAGGACTTTAATGCTCAGATTTGGCATCTGAGCTCAGAGGAGGGTCGTTTAGGTGGCCAATAGGGATTAGTTAGCCGCAAGTTTGATAATGTGGATCGTCTTCTGCAGCTTGATGTAGATCACAACCTCTTTCTAGCAAGTACCAACTTCCGGCACAGGTATCGTCGTTGTGGTACTTGGCGTTCTCTCCCTGCCACTCAAACCTGGACTCAAATAGATTATATTTCTACTAGCTACCGATGGTATGGGTGCATACAAGACTGTCGCTCCATGTGGAGTACTTGTCTGAACTTTGATCACGCTTTAGTATGTGCTAAGCCCGTCTTGCGTTTTGGTGGTCATCAAAATCGTCATCCTAAACAAGACGATACAAGCAAATTTGTTACATCTACTACTGCAGGTAGATACCAATATGAGCTAGATTTAAGGTTAGCTACTGATCCTCCAGAAATTGTACATGAATACTAGCTGCACTTGCAAGATGCTATGAAAAAGATGAGTCAATCTGCTTGAGGCTTAGAGAAACATCCTGCTAATTAACACAGGATCTCTGAGGCATCTCTACAACCTCTTGACGCCCTTAAGGACCATCCGAATGCAAAGCGACTACAATACTTTGAGTCTCTTACACTACAGATTACACAACGCTTATGCAAGGATAATGAGCTTCGGTGGTCAGAACGCACGAGTGAGATGCAAGCAGCAGCTGCATCTGGCAATGGGTGGAAGCAGTTTACACGCGTCCTACCAACTAGCAGCAAGAAGCCTGGTGTCAGTGAAACCGTCTGTAAGATAGATGGTGGGCAGAAAGTGGAAGAAGTGCACAAGAAAGTGGAGATGGATTATATCTACACTGAGAAGACCATTTCGGGACATCACGCATGAGGTCAGGCCAAACCCTTGAGCTGAACATAAAAAGGAAACGACGAGTTGGGCTTGTTGTTGGTTGGGTATCTTCATCACCTCCGTTTTCTCAACATTCACTCGAAGTACCGTTTTGGCTGCCTCTTCTATCAATTTGTTAGTTTTCGCCTGTAGATCTTCGAGCCTGTGCGACATTAGACATCAATCATCATCAGCGAAATCCAAATCTTCTAGGCTCCTTTCATCGGTCCAGCCAGCGTATGTCCATCTTCCCGCTCCTCACAGTTTCTTGCATGACCCAGTGCAGTCCAGTCGAGTCGACCACAATCAGGGGAATCATTGGTGATAGTAAGTGGCAACGTTGTCTTACTCCTGTCTTCACTTCAAAGGCATCACTGAGCTTCCCATTGTCGATCACTTGGCATGTGGAATCGTCATACAGCTGTTGAATGAGGTTGATAAAGGTTTGTGGTATTCCGTAGTGTTGAAGTAGCTGCCAAATCACTTCTCGATCGACTCTACCGAAGGCCTTTTCAAAGTCGATAAAGTTGAGGTAGAGAGTTGACTGCCAATCTATACTCTGTTCTATGATGATGCGACGCGTTGCAATTTGGTCCGCACATGATTTGTTCTTCCTGAAGCCAGCCAGCCAGCCTATTCCGTTCGTAATTTTGATGATGTGACTTAATATTTTGCTTGGGGTGGACAGAGACAGGAGCATGATTCCGTGCCATGTTCTTGCAAAGACTTAGGTCACCCTTCTTTGGAAGTTTGACAAGGTGACCCTTCTTCCAATCAATCGGCAGGTACCTTTCCTTCCTTCCTTCCTTCCTTCCTCACAAACCTTCTGCAATAGTGGTGTGAGCATGTCCGTTGCTGTTGTCTCTCCATCTGTTCTCAGTGCTTCTGGAGGAATTCCATCTGGTCCTGCTGCTTTCCCGCATTTCAGCAACTTTATGGCGTTCAGCACTTCACTTCTGCTTTCGTCGGAGGGCTTGTGTGCACTCGTAATTCTGTGACTGGGCTGCTGCTGGTATTTCTGGACGAGTTACAGATGGTGGTGGTGGTCGTCGTCGTCGTCGATTCAAGAGTTTTTTGAAGTGATCAGCCCATCGTTCCCTTTGTTTCTCCTCTTTGGTCACTAAGTTTCTTTCGCTATCCTTCATTGGTTTCATATGAGTTGATCTCTTCCCAGATAGTAACCTGGTTATTTGATACAATGTTGTCAGGTCTCTGTCTCTCCCACCTGCAGCCTGTTCTGCTTCACTTGCCAGTGTGTCGTAGAAGTGTCTTTGCCTTTCCGCGCACTCTTCTTCACTTCTTTGTCCAGTGTTTGATAGGCTGTATTCAGTTCCTCTCCCCGTTGTTCATCCCTACACTCCACTGGTTCATCTTCTACTTCAACATCTTCCTCTCCCTTCTCTATCAGCTTCCATGTGTCTGTCGAGATCCATTCATTGTCTTCTTTCTTCTTCCTTCCCAGTGCGGTTATGCAGGTTTCTTTCCACATCTCTTTCAAACAGTTCCAGTGTTCTTCCACGTAGGTATCCTCGGGGATGTTGCTTAATATCTACCATTTTTTCTTGGTGGCTGACTGGCGTAAGGGTGTCCTTTGTAGTCCCGTCCTTCAGTTTTTGTTCTGCGTGTTGAACTTGGACTATGGTCTGTCATCACCAGCTACTCTGAAGGCTTTCAACTTGATTTTGAAGGTAGGTTCGTTGCACTAGATAGTGAGTGGTGTGAACATACATCAGCTATTCTTCTAGATCAAGTCATTAAAGGTATAGAAGTCTGCAAACAGTTCTCCATTCTCAATCATTTCACCAAGCGCCCCTCGACCCTTGATGAGTTCACTTCCTGTGTTGTCCGCTCCCAGTTTTGCATTAAAACATGTCACCCATTAGATTTTTGATGTCGCCAACTGGAGTGGGGTCTTGTCCAGTACTGATTTCAGTTGTCTATAGAATTCCTCCTTCTCTTGATCTCCATTATTAGTAGGTGCGTAGCATTGTATGATTGTGATCTCCTTCTTTTTGATTTAAATCTTGCTGTCATGATTCTGATCGTGGAGAAGATTGGTTCCCATTGTATGAGAGCCTTCAGTGCTCTTGGAAACACCATGATAGCCACTCCAAAACTCAGTGTGCTCATGGTTGTCGTCTGGGTGACAATATCGGAGTAGATTATTGACTTTCCAGTTGACAGTTCTGAGAGTCCACTTCCATTCCATCTGCTTTTGCAGATTCCTAGCACTCCTATACTATATCTTCTCATCTTTTTTACAATCTGTTAACATTGTGCGGATATTCCATGTCTCCATTCTTACTTTTGCTTTCATCAAGAGAGAGAGAGAGAAGACACATCGGGCAATTGGCTTTCCGAAGGCTTTCACCGACTGGCATCATCTCTTCTCCCCAATTCCAGCGAGGAATAAGTTTATTTTTATTTTTTATATTTCCTCTGTGCTTTGAAGTTTGTTTAGCGGTTGGATTGGTTTTACGGGGTAGGGTTGCTAGACGTATGCCCAAGCTTCCCTCTTTATACGGGCTTATTACCAGTTAGTAACTGGTGAACTAGTTTACTAGGCAAGGTTTTCTAGCAATGAGGAGTATTTTTATAAACCGGAAGACATGAAAGTCCTTTTTCGTAAGCGTAAAAATTTTTAATCAATGAGGAAGAGGAATACAAACTATAAAATAAATTTACTACAAATGTAAAAACAAAATAAGTAAGTAACGCTCAAAAACTGTAATGCATTGTATAATTCGAAGAAAAAGTGGAAAGTTTTGTCAGCCAGAATCCCAGTACAAAGAGAAGAAATGAAACAAACGGATAGTACTCTCCACATACAAAAATATTCACACGAAGAAAGTATACGCTCATGCATTAATACATCAAAATCAGGCAGGCTTATAGACTGAGACATGTAGGCAAGGGAACATTCACGTATACATAGGCAAAACAAATTTTATTTTGTAAAATTTAACTCTTTATGTATTTGTGTGGTATCTACATCATGTTTTTTAATGATTCTTTGAAATAAGTTGCAGGGGCCTATCAGTTTCATTTCGCTCATTCAGTACTGGTTTTTGAAGTGGTTGTGAAGTGAGATTTTGATTGCTCCTTAAGCAGCTTGACGTTTGAAGTCACTGTTCAATATAATCGAAATTAGTTCAAAATTTACAAACGACTGGACCAGGTAATTAGTAGGCTTGAAATAAATGAGTTAACTTTTGTTTTGAGTTCGTTATAAGGTGAACGAAATATAGGGTGTTCGATTGTTTGAAAAAACGATGAATGATTTTTTATTGACACTGAGCCGTAACTGGTCGTTCAGCGTCCCGCACAATTCCAAGAGCGTACGAATCTCATCTAGGTGTAAGCCATCCTCGCATTCATCCCTTTCTTTGGATTTTTTCTCTGTTAGTATTATACTTTCTTCATTTTTTTGACTTCTTATCGTATGACTGAATACTACTCAAAACTCAAGGAGGTAAACACTGATTTCGTTCTTGAAAGCTTACTTTGCCTATGCTTTTATATATATATATATATATATATATATATATATATATATATATATATATATATATATATATATATATATAATTTTCTTCCTAAATAGTACAGCCATTTTTAAAATAATTATTGCTAGTAAAATAAGTGAGGTAACTGATGTTTGTGTTAACTTACTGTTCCTTGCCCTTTCAGTTTACGCAGTTTTATTTCTCTGTGTCTGGCTTCCAGAATTTTTTCGCGATGGGTTTCTCTCTCAAACATAGCTGTTACAACAGATTTTTCGTTTTTCGGTTGGCTCCAAAATCCTTCAGATAGCTCTAAAATTGTACATACTCCACTATGCGATCCCGTTGCAAGTAGTCGGCCTTGTTCCTGAATTCTGAGACAATGCAGAGGTTCATCGCAAATCTGTTATTGTTAAGTTAAACAGAAAGTGGGGAACAGCAAACACTATTCAGTGTTTATGAAATTTAATCATAAACTTGTTTTCAAACTTAGCATAAACTGAAATTAATGAAATCAGGTTTACGACGAATATAATATTTTTAATCTAAGACCTTCAGGTCTCGCAGCGAATGCGTTAGCCACTCAGCCATGGGTCGGAGTTCAGTGGTCCACAATTTTCCTACTTCGATCAGTTTGCGATATAATGAAGGCCTTGGTGGATAGTCACGCTATGTCGTGAATTGACAGAAATGGGAATCAATGGATGAAACAGCTGTCCGGGGCTTCCAAGTTTTAAGTGATTCTCCAACAAACGTCAATCCGTGCTGAATACTACCATGAAGCAAATATTATCCCTATAAACCAAAAAATCTAATCGCTTGCAGGTTTTCGCCAGAAACTCGAAATCCAAGTAAAGGATTCACCAAAGTAAAGAAGGAAAGTGAAGAGTGATTGCGTAATCATACGTCTGTGGGAATATATCATTGTTATCTAGCTTATTAACAAGAATAATCAATAGAATTGTAATATTTCTTCGGAATTTAAGGGAATGAATAAATTTTGGAAATAGATAAAGTACACTAAGTCTGTTTTCGAAGTTTCTCTACTCCATTGTCTGGTCGTCCGCCTTATTACATACCGACTCAGTATCCGTAAGCTTCCTTTTCACTTTAATAACACGTGATGCGAATTTCTCTGCAATCGTTAAGTTGCAAATCTACCATTCCTTTTATGATATTAAATTTTCATCATTCATGTCATCATAAATATCAGTAATAATACTGCAATAACTGTTATATCTAGTTTAGATCTTTGTTAGGAATTATTAAAATGGCTGTTAAAATGTCTTTTATTTATGTAAATGTATTTTAAGGTAAACTGTGACGACAACTCGATTAAGAGTCATTCGTCAATTCAACATCCTATCCTGTTTATTAGAACAAATCCCATAGTTCTGAAATCGTATACAATTATTCTAGATAAGTTAAGAAATTAGAGAAGCATTTTAAGATATTTATGTACGATCAAAAATAATCACACATCGCAGATGTTTGATTAATATCCTCCTGCAGGTAAAAGAAGTGATGGGCTTGGATGTGACTACTAGCATTCGTTCCCCTATGGTCAATCAAGTTTGGTTTCACAGTTAGGTTGAGTGGCTGTCAGAGAGAGCAACATTAGAAATTACGCTTTGTTGTAACTGGATTTGGCTCAACCTTTTTACATCCTACGTTGTAACGGTGGAGAAAACTAGACAAAATAAAAAACAAAGTGAAAAATATCTTATCAGTCGAGGGAAAAACAGAAAGAGGGACAAAATCAAAGTAGAAACTGTACAAGAAGTGCGTCGGTTCAAGCTGTCACACTTAATAGCAGCTTTCAAAGAATAAGTAGGCGGGAAAAGTGACTCCAAAGCATACAAAAGTGTATGGGAGGAAGAAAGATTTGAAAATGACGGTTAAAGAAAATATTCAAGCGTCTGAAGACGGCAAAGACAGAATACACTTGCGCTATCGGGACCAATTTTCCCTTGAGGTCCACCGTCACTGATTTCTGTGATGTTGGGGATCCCAGCCAGACAGTCTACACCTAACTGCATGGCTCAAACCATCAATCAGAGACTGTGCGGACTGGTCCCACTTCTTAGTCTTGAGCCTTTTTCAAACCCAGTCCAACTTCTCGAAGCAGTGCACGTCAGAACAGACAGTGACTCTTGACTTTATTGTGTTCTCTGACAGTGACTTTGTTTCAGTGACACATGTCAGAGCCACTTCACCGGCAAAGGTTCACTAGCTCATCCATGAACTTAGTTGCCTTGGCTAGTAACCTTCTCCAGACGTCAACATAGTGATTCCACTACACGAGAGCAATGGTACCAAGACATTGAAAGAGGAAGAAGATGAAAAGAACATTGTAAGAAAGGATATCAAAAAAACTTATAATAAACAATATAAGTTACGATTTTATGGAGGCCACTGCGATAGGTCGTGACTGATATCGCTTAACCAAAAATGTGTTCCTAAGATATCAATTACTGACAGTCAGTGGAAATGATTCCGCAGCCCATCATTCCTATCTCACTTCACTGTTAAGCGGACGGAGATAAAATCTGAGCAGGACTTACTCCACTTGAATAGGTTTCCAGCCTGATTGTCCTCTAGTTCACATAGAATATGTAAACAACATGGTAAGGGAAGCGAAATACCACACTGCATTGCTAAGGCATGTGAGTTCATACCAATGAACTGGTTTCTAATGAATCTCAGTATGGGTGCAAATTGCTCTTCTGGCATTCAACAACCTACTCCATCGTGGTTCTGGCTACATATCGCATTGTTCATCAGTGGGTGATTGTACTGTGCAGCCACTTAATAGAAGGCTTCCTGCTTTACGATCTTACATTTCTGTGTAACACCACTAGAGTGTAACGGAAACAAAATGAACCATGGGAAGGTTAGGTGTGAGATCTTAAGCAGTGAAGGCAAATTATTAAGCTGGCTAGACCGTGTTATGCATAATTAAACATTTTTTGTCTCAGTATTAATACAGTATTATACAAGGCTGGAATATTTTGCCAAATAATTGATACCCACCTACCACAACCGTCCAAGTCATTCACTGATAACAACGTGAAGGGAAATCTGAACTGTCACTGGGAAGGAGTGGTATACAGGGCTGAGAAGTATTTATCTGCTGCATATGTTCGAGGAAGAGCTGGAGAGGTTGACTCAGGAAACGACTGAGTTCCTTGAAGTCACTGATTGTTGGTCTTAGGCACATAGGCTATCTGGTTAGTACCTACCATCGAAATTCAAAGATTGGAAATCCTTGGTGATATGGCTTAAAATTGACCACAGTAATCCAAACGTATTCACATGTTATCGACTTCAAACCTCTCTACATAAATTTAATCTCATTCTTTTCGCCTATAACGTATATATACCTTAAAACATCGGTCATCAAGATGGTGAACGTAAAGGTCTATGTCTACTGACTTTTCGCTAAGTTCTGCATATTTGTCCATTTTTATGATGGTTCATGTATTTGTAGCATTACTCCTATGATCCCATTCCCCATTTTCATATCTACTTTTTTCATGAACGGTACTCCGGTTTCTTTTTTGATCATTCTGTAAACACTCGCTATTACCCAGCTTTGTATAGGAAGGTTGCTGATGTATGTGCTGCAAAATCATTGGCAGGCTTCTTTTGGAGCCTATCTGATCATATGGTAAACCTAAAGTCATAAAGAATACTTGCACATCTTTTTGTAAAACCTTATATAAGTTAATCAATAAAAACACGGTCAAAAAGTGATATAAAGCTCGTCAACAGATTTCAATGTCTACGTAGTCTATTAATATTCCCAAGAGTAACCAGATTTATTTAACACGTAGCATATACCTTCTTATAATGTCACTATCATTAACCTTGACGACCGGGCATATCAACGTTCCAGAGATCCTAGAAGCGTGACACGATGTAAGACCATCACAGAGTTATTTAATTTTATCGGCTAGGTCATAGATGATTTTTACATTTAAAATGGAATATACTTTAGTTTCCAACAGAGAAAGTAAATACCGAGTATAAATTCCTTCATAAAAGCCTTCAGAAACCATAAACAATGTGAATGTTGATGATTATGTCTATACGCAACTATTTTCCTACTGTAAAAATGGTCGAAAACTTACGTACAATCCTATTAAGTTGTGTTGGTTGGTTGGAGGCAATCGGCAGGACGCCTTGGACATAGGTTTCGTTCTTGCTGGCAGTCATCAGTAAGGTCTATCTGCAACATCAAGGGAAGTGACGTCCCTGTCAGATCCGAACCTTCGTCAAACAGTGCTTCAGTATTCTACCTCACCACTTAGATATTCTGGCCGCAGTTGACCTTCTGTGGACTGCAACACTGAGTGACGTCGGTTCTAAATTCAAAGGGGATATCACTTCCCTTCAGATTCCAGATACACCTTGCTGACGTGTCCCAGCAATCACGAAACCTATGTCCAACGTTCCTGGCTATTGCCTTAAACGAGCTAATCTCCATCAATTTGCACCCCGATGCTGAGCTTCCTAGATTGGTAGCCACATTGCAAAATGGTCGATAGAATTTGGTCAGCACTCGGGATTAGACAACATGAAATCGGTCAGCCCCAGTGACCAATCAATCTCCCCTTATTTTTTTTGTGTACATGGTCACGTTAATGATTAGTAATGCCTGCCCAGTTCATTGCGAATTATTTTAGGCTGCAAGGCCGATGCACTTAAGCACTTTTTCTAACATTATCTTTCCGATACTGTTTATGATTCATGCATTCGTTGGTTTAATAATTCACTTACCCATATATATATATATATATATATGTATATATATATATATATATATATATATATATATATATATATATATATATATATATATATATATATATATTGTTTATTTTAATTCCATACTTTTCCCAGTAGTTTATCAATTGAGTGCATCGAATTAAAAATAAATATTTCAACCTTCTTAGTGGACAAAGAAAGGATTGCTTTCTTTTAGCCCGTTCTGTAGCATCCAGAAATTCACAGTAATCAATAACATTGGTTAGTTGACATAATGTATTTGTAACAGTTATAGGTAAATATAGTCAGGTAGAGGATATGATGAATACAGGCTAAGCTAGAGAAGTAAGGGAAATGGACTAAGCGTTACCACGAAAGAAGTTTGTAAACCATGCAAAATTGGTTACTGATTTGTCTAAAATATTTGGTTTTAACTGATTGAGGAAATCAGGGTCAATGTTATGAATTCTACGTCAACAAAGTTAAAGTTACTCCTGAGCGATACAGTCATCTGGCTTCCTTTCACCCTCGGTTTAATCTATTGGGCTATTGTAGTGAAAAGTGGATTTCGAATCTATATGACAAATACAATTTATGAAAAATGATCATTCGCATAAAAACAGTAGTGAATTTTGACCAAAGGTAGAATGTAGCCAACTAACTTACCTGAATATTAAGAGCCGGGGCTTTTTGTTTGAATATCATGTCCCAAATACTTAACGTTCCATCTAGGCGAGTAGTAAAGAATACAGCTGGTCGAACAGGACTCCAACAGCCATCCGACAGTCCATGTTCATGGTGGTTGTCCACATTATGGCAGAATCTCGAATATCCTCCGACCATATTCGAGCGGTCCAGTCACCAATGCTAAGAAAGTTCTTCGGAAAAAATGGATTCCTTTGTAATGCATAAATAGGTCCAATATGTCCAGGATAAACGGCAACGATTTTTTCCGCAGGTGTCTTACCTTTCCGATTACAAGAGATTATAGCTCCCTAAAAATTAGAAAATTAACTTTTACTGATAGAATTTTCATTCATAACAATTTTATTGCTTGTTATTATTGATCATCAGTCTGCTTCCTCCTCAAGCACTTCATACCCACCAGTAGTATATGTTTAACCTACGGATTGCCAACACGTTTCTTGAGATTCATAAGATCAGGGTAATTAACGAGTTTTAATCCTTTATTATCTAGTGAACAGAGGACAAGACTGGTTAGCATTATTAATCCACTTGAAAATTTAGCATAAATGATAGGTTGAACACTTAGATAAGTATTTCAACGAACACAAAGTCTCCCAGCTGATTATTTAAGATTTTGATTCAAAAATCTACCCAAGTAGAACTTTTTTGGAACTCCATCACTTACAGTTAGCCTTCTTGAATTAATGACCTTCAGTTAGTTGCATTTCAGCAAGCTACAGATATGACATCACTGGGTACGATCATCCAGAACAAACAAAACTACAGGTAATTTGCGATGAATGATTGGTCTTCAGAAAAGTATTCAACCTTCAAAGACTAATTTTGTCGATTAAGAGCAAAATATTATTTGAACGTTTTGCTTAAAAATGAAATCAATAAAGGTTTAGCATGTAATCTAGTGGTAATTTTTAAGTTGCAGTTGTTTTTGGTTTTAATAGGTTGAGGGGAAACCTGCCTTTACTCAGTGCTTCAAAACCTAATAAGACCGTTTCCACGGTCGTAGTTCAGGGACAAAGTGGCTTCTGAACTACGCCTCAGAACACGCGCTCATTAAACGACAGTACTTAGTTAGATTCCACTTAGGCATATTTCCATATCTTTTGTTCCACCACCCATACAGAAAACTGCAAACAGAAATTCTGAGCTCATATTTAAAATACAGAATTAATTGGAGACTTTACATTTCTTGATTCCTTGAACTTACAGTTGTCTCTTTCCTTCATGCATATTTTTGCATGTGGTGTTTGCATTATCTTTACTGGACATCTTCCCTCTTTTATCAACAACAATAACCTGTTAAATCAGTCGATAGTAAACAATTACGAGGTACAAATTGCCATTACAAGGATAGCTAATAAAAGGATGCAGACTAATCACATGTTTCCTAATTGTAGACTATTCAGTAGACGGAGGCACACATAACACTCGTAATTTACGAGTCGTGAAAAAGATCTCGTTCATGAACTGAAGTCAGTTGTTTTGGATTTATTGCATCCATCGGTTGTATGTTTACTAACTTACAACTCTGTACATAGTCCTTAACGTATCCTGCTTTCGGTTAATTCAAAGTGATTAATGAAAGTCTATAGTGTGATGAAAAGTAATGTAACATTCGAAGTAGACATGCATGTATAAACATGGAATTCATATCAGTAATGATTTTGTGATACGTCATCAATTTTTCGAGGATGAATTTCGTCCTCAACTGTACTTACTCATATACTTATAAGCTGACTGATAAAACATTGCATCGCAAACATAACCTCCAAAATATATTAAGATTTTGATTTAAGCGAAAACTCACAGCATATTTACGAAAACATTCGCTTTAAAGGCTCAGTTACCAGTGAAAGTGAATTAAAACAGTTATGCAGCGGTCAAAAGTATTATTAAATTCATTTTTCTTGACAGAGATATTTCATGAGGTAGCCTGAAGTTTCCTGAGCTACTTAAAGTTAAATAACTGCCTGCACTATTGCCACAAAATTAAGAATTATTTACACGGGAGTTGTTCTTTTGTTGTTAGTCTTAAAACGTACAAATTCTTCTCAACTGCTTGACATAAAGCAAAAGCGGTTTTTTTACTTTATTGTGTATTAAGATATAGCATCCTTAGTTCCATTGCAATCAAAGCCAAAACTCATTCCTATTTGTGATCAATTGTTTTCACTTGTTTTTATCGAATATTCTAAGTACCATTTACCAAAATATCTACTTATTTCTCTTTGCTTTGTTTCATTCTGTCCAAAACTAATGTTCGAAAATATAGCGACAAATGTGGAACTTAGTTCGAAGTAGATGAACTCAGTATTTAATTCAAAAAAAGTCAACTATGTTTAAAATTAAACACTGGGTATTTTTGTGCTAGTCATGAAATCACTAGTTCAATAAGTCGGATAGCATTCTGAGCACTTATTTTTGCGTGATAACTTTGACAATAAATCATCTCAGCTGAATTACACTACCGTTTGTCTTTTGAAATTCAAAGAAAAGTCCGTTTAGCGACTGTTAATTAATCCAGCAAAGATTGAATTCCGCTGACAAGTTGCGGATGCAATAAGTAGTACTGCTATTGGATTCCGTGGTGATAAAAAGTATACTGCTAACATGAGCCATGTTAACCAAAGGTGAACCAGGCTAAAAGGCAAGACAAAACACTTATCCTTAAGTCGCTTAGCCTTGGTTTGAACCGTTTAGGGTGGTGTAAGCTACGTGATTGGCGTAATCGAAATGATAGGAAACAGTAATTGGACTTTTAATGATATGGTTTAAAAATTAGTAAAGATTGGGGACATGTATACAATATTTGTAATCCTGGACACCATTAACATGTGATTTGTCTTTATTTACTTATTGTTATATTTTTGTTACACTTTAGTCTACTTTAATACCATTAACTTTCTAACATATTTGTTCAAATTTGTACAATTAATTGCCTGTCTTTTTGATGAAGGAAGTAGTAAATCAGTGGAAAAAAGAAACCAATTCGAGAAGTGATGCTCGAAACCAAGTTAACAATGATGAGTATTTTAGGTAACTCCAAAGACCACTCTAGCAACGAACGAAATAACCCATTATGTTTCTTTATTTCGAGCGACTTTACAGGCCACCCTAGTAACTGGTGAGATAAGCAATCACCTTTCTCTGTTATATGGGAAACTACCTTCCCAGTCGAAATTCAGAAACTTGGTTATTTCAGCCATTGCTAGAGTGGTCTTTAATGTCAATCTTCGCTTCCTCTGGGAAGACAGATTTTCATAAAGCGAAAAGTTATATTCATCATCAAGATCAACCTAGGACCAGGCATTACTGCGTAACGGTCCGAGTTGCCACACCTCATATCAGTACATGAAGTAAGAAGGCAGTGAGGCGCAAGATGAAGATAAGAAAATTTAGTCAAAAGAAATATAAAGTACGAAAAGAGAGGAACGAAGAATGAGAAAATGGTGAGATTAGGTATAGCGTTAAGATGAGGATAACGTGTGTATACATCTGCACCACTGACATCGGTTCTAAACCACATCACCTAGAGTCTCCAAACACTGGTTCCTCTTGTCCAGCAGACCTCAACCGACTAGTCTGCATCGCCTCACATGGCTAAAACCAACAGTCAAACACTGCATACATTGGTGCCATGTTCTGGTCTGGCCGCCTCGGGCCTTTTTCCAACCTGAACCTACTTCGGCCAACATTGTGTGATGAGGCGATCGGTGACCAGGCATACGTAACACATGTCCCAACCATTTCAGTCGATGAGGGTTCACAACCTCGTCAACTGACTTACCTTTTCTCCCTCAAACTCTACGCCTGACTTCTGCGTTACTCACGTGGTGACATCACGGAATACGGCTTATAGTACCAAGGCAACGGTGGTCAAACACCTGAAGCCAGCCTTCTCATGTCTTCCACCTTCAATGGCCATGTTTCACAGTAGAACATACCCGACTGCTGTGCTGTATACGCAACCTCTAGCAGACGATCGGATATCACAGCGGCGCCACAGGTGGCGTAAGCTGGCAAAGGCCAATCGAGCCTTTTGCATCCGTGCAGAGATTTCATCGGCCACTGAGCCATCAGGACTGATCCTACTTCCCAGTTAAATGAAGTGGTCAACACACTCAAGCATTAAACTCTCTACTGTCAGCCGTGGCACCGTTGAAGACCAATTCTGGAGCAACAATTCGCATTTGGGTGGTGAGAAACGCATCCCAAACGTTCTCAAATTCCCACTCAAAGTGTTCAGAAGACTCTGGATCTTGTTAGCGTCTTCATATAACAGGACTATGTCATCTGCGGATAATAGGTCTAACGAAAATTCTCCTGCAATCAGGCAACGTCTGTATGGTCAGGTGACGAGAGGGGGACCCTCCATAAGAATATCTATGATAAAATTGAACAAGAATGGAGACAGTGGGCATCCTTGACGGACACCACTCGACGAGTACAGCTCCCCGAATATCTCACCATAGGCTCTAACACACCTACAGGTGTTCGAGGAGGGAATCTTCAATAAGGTGATGTGCTTACTCGGCACACCTTTCGGTGAGAGACATTTCCATAAGACTTTTCGATCGATGGAGTCGAAATGCCCCTTCAGGTCGAGAAATACAGCTATCGTCATGCGTCGGAAAGCGTGCCTGCGTTCCAGAACCTGGCGCAGTGTGAATATTTGGTCGATAAACCTGCGGCCGGGTTTAAAGCCTGTCTGGTTTTCTCAGGCTTGCTGTTCTCGAGCTCCAACCAGGCGTCGAAAAATTGTAGAACCTAGGATCTTAGACACTATGTTTGTCAGTCTGATTCCTCTGTGGTTACCACAAGAGGACTTTTCGCCCTTCTTGAAGACTGGGATAATCAGTGATTCAGACCAGCCAGAGGGGATCGGATTTGATTCCCATATACTAGCTGACTAAGAGCACTTCACTATCACTCTTGTATACCTCAGCAGGTAGTCCGTCTGGTCCTGCTACCCTCGCTCGTTTCAGGTTACCCACCGCTTTCTCAACTTCTCCTAGTGCTGGGGGGCTTACCTCTATGTCTCATTCAGGATTCGACTAGATTGCGGGCAACGCAATGGTGGCTGGAGGCCAGTTGAACTGTTCCTCAAAGTGTTCTGCCCATCGTTCCAGTCGTCTCCCCTGAGAGTGAATCACACATCTGTCCTTCTCCGCTATAGCCTCACTAACCGCAGTTGACCTTTCTTTCCCCTCCCCCACTCTCCTTAATAAGTTTAAATGACTGTCTCTGTTACCAATTGTTGCTGCCTTTTCCATCTCTTAAGCCTTCGCTG